GAGCCGAACGCGTATGCTGGGCTGTCATTACATGTAAACAGTTGGGCGGAGCCAGCCATAATGTCACAGCTGGCTCCGCCCAGTTGTTGTCTCTCAATGCTAAACCGCATACTGCCTCTATGACAACAGCATGGCTTCGTAGTAGAGGGTTAACTTAACCCAGTTGTTGTCTTTCAATGATAGCTCTGCCCAATTGTTTATGTTTTGCCGGGATCTGTCAGAATGCCATTCTGCGGTGGGAGTTCATCGCGAGTGGACAGGTCGGCGGGCGTCTAGTTTTTTTAAAATTATTATTATTTCTATTTATTTTTTCTTGTTTTATTTTTTATTTCGTCGAGTCGTCGTCGTGGACAATGCTGGACGTCGTGATTGACCTTAGGATTATGTCGGTGGAACCATATTTTTTATTTTTTTTTCCACTAAAAGACTTGTCAAAAATCCTTTGTTTTGTTTTTTTTTCCAAATAAAGGATTTTTACAAAACTATGGTCTTTTTATTTACAATTTATTTTTACCCTTTAGTGAATGGGTAGGGGTACAAGTACGCCTTACTCATTCACAAGGTGGGGCCCTGCCCACACCCCCACAACCAATGCCCCATATGGGTTTGGGGCGGGCTTTTGTTTAGATCAAGGGTCTGGTTGGGAATTTTAGGGGGGACCCCACGTCTTTTTTTCCCCATTTTTGGGGGTGGGGTTCCTCCCTAATATTTCTACCAGACCTTAAGGGCCTGTTATGACTTTGGGGGGAACCCCACACACTTTTTTTTATTTTAACTTGGGGTCCCTCCTAAAATTTCTACCAGCCCTGGTATGGTTTTTGGGAAGAAACCCCACACTTTTTTTCTTTTTTTTAAATGAAGTCCCTCCTAACTTTCCTACTAGAGGGGGACCCCACGCTGTTTTTTTTTTTCTTTAGATTGTTTTTATTATTTTCTATTTTTTTACGTTTATTGAAATAATTTTTAAAAATGTTTTTTAAATTAGTTTTTTACGTTTTTTTTCTACTCTGTTTGCTACCTCAGAGGTATCGAGCAGATTAGCCAAGCCGAATGCCACTCGGAGGCATTCGGCTATTCACTCACTGCCATTCGGTCCCTATGAGAATAGGGGCGAACGGCAGCGAGTGAGCTGCCGGAGCTTTGGCTCAGCTGATCCAGATGATGGATCGGCTGAGTTGAACTCCTTCTGTACTTCGGCTCAGCCGAACATGTACGGCTGAAATCACTTGTACTGAGCTAAAGTGAATAGCCGAACGGCCTTTGGCATTAGAATCTCTTTTCTCAGGTAAATTTCAATGAGTCCCCTCCTTTCTTACAAGGCCATAACAAGGTGACACTCTTTTATTGGATTCACTTACAAATGTTGCATTATGGAGAATCTATCAAGAGAAGACACTGTTATATGGCTTTGTAATAGGTGCAGCAGTTGGCTAAAAATGAACATTCTGGTGAGGATAAGCTACCACTGGAGCCCCTGAAAGATAAAGGAAGACAACATGTGATTTATCCATGCAGAAGTAAAATATTAGTTTTATTTGGAGTTGGTTTTTAATTTCCATCTTTATATATAACAGGCACATTTTCCGAATGCTCTATTGTAACACATAGGCTTTTGTAGATATATTGACTTAAATTCCTCCCTTAATTATCGCCTCTGTCTAGCTGTGCAACATATAAACCTCTATAGGGTATGTATCGTGTGTTGCTATGCAAATCTATTTTGCTAGGAGCTGAATGTTGATGGCCGTTGAATCTCACAATCAGGAGGTATTACATTCAGACTGGGAACTCTAAATTCAACCAGCAATATTTTATCCTGTAGCTATATTAAGAGAAGGTTTTTCCCCCCTTAGTTTTGGGTTAAAAAAAATAATACATCTTCATAATACAAAATAGGATAATCACTAGGTTAGATGGTAAAAGATATAAAGTGCCTGTTTAGTTTGTCCTTTATATTTTTACTTACCAAGGGAAATCTTCAAAGAATTAATTTCCCCCCGAGAACCTATGGCAATATGGTGTAAGGGTTCTGTCTATCACTTTTTTGCCCACAATGGCTCTTCCATTCCCAGAAGTCTTTGCCCTGTGCATGCACAGTGTAACCCCTTATATTTGAAATCCCATACAATAACTGCACTCCATGGGTCGACTCTTCACCAAATAAAACTTTATTCCAAAGTAACAGACACACTGCCAATCCCCCGACATAGACCAGCTGCCTCTAACGTGTTTCAACTATCAGGCTTAATTGTAGAGAATGCTACAAACTCTACAATTAAGCCCAATGGGTCAAACTCATTAGAGGCAGGTGGTTTATGCTCGGGGATTGACAGTGTGTCTGTTACTTTGGAATACATTTTTTATTTATGGTGAAGACAATGTAGTGCGTTTTTTGTATGTGATTTCAAGTATTGCGTTGGAGACGTGCTCAGGACCTGCACCTGGGATTCTCTTGAGGCAGGACGTCAGCATGAGGATGGGAGTGGTGATTTGTTTGTTACAGGCTACAAGTGGGGGGGGGGGGGGGGGGGTTGAGGCTGGAAGGACCGGTCTAAGAGCAAGCCAGCTCTGCAGTTCAGGTGAGTATAACATTTATTAGCACCTAGACAAAAATGACCAGTTAACCCATGCAGTGCAGGGTTAGCCTTACTGCAAGGGTTAATAAAAGTTTTGCCTGGACTTCTTTAGGAATGACCCTGTGGGAAGTGAAAAGTGTGACCTTCCAGAATCCTGTGCTCCAGTTATTCAAATTCATCCATGACATTTCACTCTTTTGATTTTGGTAGCTTCAGTGCGAAAACAATTTTAAAGGTAGACAGTTATTTAATAAAGGAAGATATCTGGAATGGTTCAGTTTAAGCAATTCATCCTTGCATTATTTTTTAATCTATGTTTAATAAATTGGTATGTGGGGAAAGGAGTAGATTTACTGAACTGCTAAACGCTCCCATGCTACTCATAATCACCTTTCCTTTACTTCCCTGCTAGATAGAAATTTGCAGTGCTTATGATTATGGGGGCGCATGTGACTCTCTTCCCTTCCTTCTACAGGGCAGTGTTGGTTGGTTGAGCAACCAATCATCAGTTCTGAATACTGTCATGTTGGGTGGCAAGGAGGGGGTTCTGAGCCCTGTGTAAGCTCCAGCTACATCAACCCGAAGCTTAGCTTTTCCTATTCCGTACACTAAAAGGGCACTGTAGTTTTTCTACTTTGAGAGTGTGTGTGTACATGTGTTTGTGTGTTTCTTTTGTAGCACCTGCTATAGGACAGGCTTTGGACTCATGGCTGATATTAGCTTAGCAGGGAGCCTACACTCTTGGCACTCCTGCTAGGGTAGTATTAACTGTATGCCTGGTGCACTGAGCGTGAATTGTTCAGGTAGGGGGCATAACATTTTAAAAACGCTAGTACAGAATGCAGGTTACAATTAGTTATTCACAATTTTTCAGAAATGTGAAACTCTTGCACCTGGTAGATTCAGCTGGTAGA